ACACTTTCTGAATATATGAAACTTATCGAAAACATGTGCATTGTTTCAAATTCTAAACAAATTTTAAAAAAAGAACATTTTAAAAAAGTTCTAATCCTTTTATGAATTTTGGAACTAATTTTGAAATTTCTGAACAAAACTTGAAAACAGGAACATTTTTTCAAAATGTTTTTTAAATCTAATATTTTTTAAATTACTAAAACAAATAAAATAAAAAAGGAACTTGAAGAAAGGAAGTAAAAAGAAACAGATAGAACAAAAACAAAACGAAAATGCGTCGGCCCAGTCGGGGCAACCCTGTGCGAAGCCCTGACTATTTGCCGTAGTGTGCGGTAAATACGGTTTTCTGGTAACGCGCTCTCACACGTTACAGTGGGACGCAGCCCATTCCGAGGATTCCCATGGTGGATAATATATTCTTGAATTTTAAATAAGATTCACTTTTTAAACTTTTATGCGAATTTTAATAATGTTCACTAATTTCAACAACGTTCACAAATGAAAATATATATTCAATTTAGAAGATATCACGATTGAATATCATATTCGTTGGTAATTTAAAAAGATCATCATTTATTTGAAAGATGTTCATCATGCATTTAAAAAATGATAATTTATCTACAAAAAGATCATGAAGTGTTTCAAATTATTCACCGTGTATTAAAAATGGCACATCATGTTTTTTAAGAATCATGAATGTTTTTAGAAAATTATTCCCATGTTATAAGAAAATTATATATAAAAACAGTAAAACATAGAAGATAAGAAAAAAATGAACAGAGAAAAATAAAAATGGAATATCTAAAAAAGTAAAAAATCTAGCCTAAACCCTGTACAAAAATAACCGGCGGAAAAAAGGGAAAGAACGGAGAAACAAATCAACAAACCCGCTGCCTTTCCGCACATGAGCTGGGCGAAAGCAGCACTGTGGGGGGAGGGGTGTACTTTCTATTCACCGCACTGTGCCAGAAATAGGATGTGCATGTAAATGGTGGAAAGTGCCATCTTGTTTGACTTTCCAATCGTATTCTATTTTTACTTCTTGTGGCACCTATATAATCATATTAATACCATTGCTATCATTACCAATACTATATTTGGTGTTGTGTGTGCTAGATTTTATATGGTCTCATATTTACTAAGTTTCAAGATATAGTTGATTACAATGCCCAGATGTAAAGATCATCAATGTCGAGTGCTTTATCATGCATTTTCTAAAGTTAAATATTTATCTCTAAGTGGTTATATAGTTTTAATGTTGTTCCCATTTATAACTCATGTCGTTCCTATTTGCAGTTATGGACATATCATGGTGTTGTTTGTTGAGGTCCTTTCAATCGGTAGAGGACCGCTTCTTCTCCAACAACCTCAGCATCAGAGAGCTCTTTGACGCCCACCACCTTCGATCTTCTTGCGCCCCCCATGCGTACCATCGGCCACACCTCCGCAGATGGGTTACTCCTTGCTCTCTACCATGACTACCACCTCATACGCACCAATCGTGGCATGCTCTACTTGAGCAAGGTCGACACTGGCTTCCCGCTCGGCCCTCCCACCCTACTTCATGATTGTATTCCATGCCAAATCACCGCTGCAGCCTCAGTGGTGATGTGCTATGGTGAAAGAATCTCAAGCCCTATAAGCACATGTGCATCTTCGATGTTAGTCTTCCCCGATGCACATGTGTGTGTGTGTGACACACACACACATAAAGAGAGAGAGAGAGAGGGAGTGCTTTACCAGGCATTTTAAAGTTAAATATTTATCTCTAAGTGGCTATATAGTTCTAATGTTGTTCCCATTTATAACTCATGTCGTTCCTATTTGCAGTTATGGACATATCATGGTGTTGTTTGTTGAGGTCCTTTCAATCAGCAGAGGACCGCTTCTTCTCCAACAACCTCAGCATTAGAGAGCTCTTTGACGCCCACCACCTTCGATCTTCTTGCCCCCCCCCCCATGCATACCGTCGGCCACACCTTCGCGGATGGGTTACTCCTTGCTCTCTACCATGACTACCACCTCATACGCACCAATCCTGGCATGCTCTACTTGAGCAAGGTCGGCACTGGCTTCCCGCTCGGCCGCTCCCACCCTACTTCATGATTGTATTCCATGCCAAATCACCGCTGCAGCCTCAGTGGTGATGTGCTATGGTGAAAGAATCTCAAGCCCTATAAGCACATGTGCATCTGCGATGTTAGTCTTCCCCGACGCACATGTGTGTGTGTGTGACACACACACACACATAAAGAGAGAGAGAGAGAGAGAGTGCTTTACCAGGCATTTTAAAGTTAAATATTTATCTCTAAGTGGCTATATAGTTCTAATCTTGTTCCCATTTATAACTCATGTCGTTCCTATTTGCAGTTATGGACATATCATGGTGTTGTTTGTTGAGGTCCTTTCAATCAGCAGAGGACCGCTTCTTCTCCAACAACCTCAACATCAGAGAGCTCTTTGACGTCCACCACCTTCGATCTTCTTGCGCCCCCCATGCATACCGTCGGCCACACCTCCGCGGATGGGTTACTCCTTGCTCTCTACCATGACTACCACCTCATATGCACCAATCGTGGCATGCTCTACTTGAGCTTACTCAGCAAATAAATCTACCTAAGAACAGTGTACATACCTATCAGCTGAAGATTAGTTATTGCACCATACTTTAGAAGCACTTGTTGCCACATCTTTTTTTGTGAGGGAAAAATGTTGTATTAATTAATCTGGACCGCGCCAGTCCAGTCCACACAAGTTTACAACCCTCTCAGTGCCTGACTGTAGCCATACGTCCGTCTTCATCTCATATCTACCCAACTAAGCTAAGTGGTGGCTAACAAGGTTACATCCTCTCCTAATAGCTTTAATCACTACATCTCTTCATTATCTCATATTGGCGGCAATCTCTTGGATGATGGTGGCATGTTGTGATCTGTTCCCCGAAGGATTGGAGATCATCGTAGCGGCTTCAATAATGTCTGTCTCACATCTTGGAGGCAATCTTTTCCCTTTTGATGGTGCCTATGAACCGATCAAGGAATAATTTATTTACCAAGACAAGATCACATGTTATATTCTACTTGTGTGGCAGGTGATTTTGATCCACACGTAAAATCTTCAACCTAAAAAGTAACTGCCACTTGCGATTTGCAGATAAACAAGCACGACAACACTTGGCCGGTATATATCCGAGCTGATAGATTTACTGACAGGAAGGCTAAGACATTTCCCCATGCGATTTGGAAGTAAACATTTGTCGCATTATGACAGCTTTAATTAGTGCATGTACGTGATAGTGAGTTAGTTGATTATAGTTTAGTTTAAGGACAGCTAATGAACCGAACCAGAAAGCCAGATTCACATGCAGAAAAGCAGAAAGCTAGACCCATCAGCGCTAGCTAAGACAGGGAATGTTCGGAGGTATATATAGTTGAAATTTCTCCATGAAATGAAAGTACCATCTTCTTTAGACTTTAGTCTTTGGTGTTGAAGCTTAGCTCGACTTTTACTTGGTAGCATATCTGGAATATACGCCAAGGGAGAAAAAGAGCACTCAACTTTTTTTAGATGTAAAGTAATCAGATAAGAATTGGATGTAACTGGACTGATTTGATAAGAACTTGAGACCACTCGTGGTGACCAGACAAGTAGTTTTCATTGCTTTGGTTTTCGAGCAACGTAAGATAGAAAAAATGATGTTGAAGAAGCTACACATGTTATTTGCTTCTATTTCCGTGAGCTTATCACCTGGAGAACAAGTGCATGCATGAGGTCTTGCTTTCGTTTTCTATGTGAAAATGGTTGGCGCCATGTGTCGAATGGTAGAGCCAATTGCACTAGTTTTTACAGTACTATACATGTGGCATAGCCAAAGTCTTTGGAGTGAAAGACTTGGAAAGTTGGCATGACAATAACTCCAGAAGCAAAGAAAACATTTTCCAACTTTCGTTGTCGTTAGGCCAACGTGGATATCCATTGGTCCAACCAAGCATGGACGCAGACCCTTGTCTGGCAGTGTCCTGGTTTCAAGGGTTAGCTTAGTGACATGCATTATCTAATAAAAAAAAGGCATATACCAGTAACTTAATTGAAAGGCTGTAAAGGATTGCTACAAACCGGGTTGTACTGTCAAACCATGTGCAATTGTTTAATGTACTAGTTAGGGCGCAAAATCCTTCTCTCTTCCTAAAACTGCTGTGTGGTTAAGAGGTGTACCTGATGAGATTAACATGCTGTGTCAGCAGGACTGTAATGAACCTGTTTAAGTAATGGAAGTGATTTATTCACAAAAAATTGAGTACTAAAGTATGGGTTTTAAATCTTGCTGAGATCAAGCTTTCATCTCCATAAATTGGAAATTTGTAATGCCTTTGGTCCGATTTTTGTCACAGAAATCTTACTCTTATGTACTACTGCATAACTTTTCAGAACCAATTTTGTCATAAATAAAGCCATTCTCCTTTTCAATAGAATTCAAGTGCTCCTGCTTGTTGAGGTTCCTCGAAAATAATCTTGTTGTGCTTTTCCCAATAATAGAGAAATCATATTGATTTCACCATTGAAGTTGTTGATTGAGATAGATTACGAGGCTTGCCACTTGGCTTAACAGTAAAAATTGCAAAGCTTTTATTTTGGACAAGAGAGAATTGAGTACCTTTTCTTATTGTGCAAGGCATGAGTATTGGGATATATGCACTTTTTTATGCAGACACAAGGTGATAAAACATTCTAATATTATTTAAACAAAATTTAATAAAACCCATAATTTAAGGTCGTACTGGCAAACCTACATACAACCTAGTACTAGTACTACTCCTATATGTTTACACATGATATCCAATACAGTACATATTACCTTCTATCCACATGCCCAATATACGTGCATACACAATATACCTTCATAATAAAATATTACTACTACCCCAGACATGCAAATTGCGCCGTGTGTTAATGGGCCAATTTGCATGGATGCATGCATATGCATGGGTTCACAACCTTGGTCAGGAATCGAAGCCGAACAGGTCGTCGTCGTAAATGCTATTGCCAAATGAGCCCCCTAACGAGCCCGACATGAACCCAAGGCTGCTCGGCGACGGCGAGGAAGGGAAGCTGTCCATGCCCGCGCCAGCATCCCCCGCCACCGGCCAGTACTCCGCCGGCGCTGATCCCACGGTCAACGGCGACGTCCTTTGGTCAATAACGTCGACGAGCTGCCCGCCGGCGTACTGCATGAACTTCCCGTGGCCAGCCGGCGACGGCGAGCCGCTGGACACACCTTCCTGCACCGGCGGCGAGGAGCTGTAGTTGGAGAAGCGGGAGGAAAGCATCGGATGAAGATCAACCGCTTCTTTCACGACACAATGAGCAAAAGCGCTCGTGCTCGTGCTCGCAGCCGCGCCGTTGATCGACGTGAAGCTGATGAGATTTGAGCAGTCTGCTGGCGGGGCAGCGTCGGCGGCGCCTTGGATGAAGAGTGATCGAAACGTGGAAGGGTCCTTGCAGGTGTGCTGGCCGTAGTAGCTGATGATGTACTCCGACGGGTTGGACTCGGATTCCTGGACCTGCCTCGTGGCCTGGCAGCCTTGGTCTGGCTTATGAGAGCACCTGTAGTAGCTCCTGGATGTGCCATTGTGCATATGCAAATTAGCTACAACTCTTTTTTTTTTTGCGGAAAAAATTAGCTACAACTCTACTAGCTAGCTAGAGCCTTAGCTAATAATACTCCAATATATACAAGAACAACTAGCTAATAAAAAAGCTCAACTTACCACAAAGGATATAAAATTAAAAAGCTCAACTAGCAAATTAACCACTTGGCAAGTGTCTTTTTCGGTTCTGCATTCATACTACCTCATTTTTTCCCTTTCCTTCCAAATTAATTTGCAGCACAACAGAAAAGACATATATGTACCTCGGGTTAGTAGAGGCATGAATATATTTTTGGCCGTACTTCCTCCATGTCTTGCCATCGTTGAGCGTCCTAGCAGTGACCATGCTGATGAAAGGGCTCTTCGACCTGCCATGCATAAGAGACATGATTAATTAACAACTACAGTATATATGATTTGATAGACCCATGCATGCGTGCATGCCCAAGTAATCTTATAGCAGCATCTACTTTTGACAAAAACAACAACGAACTTGGTCAGGTCATCAGAAGCAGCCTATACTTTTCGCCCACTGATCATTGGCGCTTAAAGTTCCCCCGCTAGGCCGCCAAATTAATAGTAGTACAATTTATAAAATACTACTCCCTCCCTTCGTTTGGAATTACTTGTCGCGGAAATGGATGTATATCCATTTCCGCGACAAGTAATTCCAAACGGAGGGAGTAGATAGTTGGAGGCGATAATAATTTGTTAGATCGCATGCATACTGTGGTGTTTTTTCTAGTGAAACGAGGTATAGCTAGGCTTTCTTTGATCACCTTCTCCTGGAGGTGCTCCGGCGGTGCGGCCCGGACGCCGTGGCTGATCTCTTCTTCCTCCCAGAAGACGCCTCCACACCGCCGCTGGTGGAGCCAAACACCGACATAGCGCTGGACAGCTTGGCCATCATCCCCTTCACGAGCTCCCTCGCGTCCATGTCCAACACTCTTGGCGACCCCTGCAGCATGGTCTGCAGCGTCGCCGCGTGCTCGCGCACCTCCACCAGGTCGTCGTAGACCACCGCCGGGGGTGAGCGGCCGCCGTCATCGCCCGCGCCGCCACAAGATGCCATGCTAGCTTGCGAGCTACTAGAGGGTCTGGAGAACAGGGCTTGCTCACCGCGCACGGCTCAAGTTTTTATTGGTGCAGCCGGCGGGCGCGCGGTGAGAAGTTGGGAGGAAGAGTTGGAGAAAGGCGAGCGAGACCGCGAGAGCGACGGAGGAGGAAGCGGCGGGGAACGTGGAGCTACGGCGCGTCCGGGGAGGGGCTCGCCATGGTAGATCGATGTGTGTCCCTGCGCGCGAGCCGACGTCGGGGCGTGTCATCGCCGTGACGCAGCTGCGTGAGCTCATCGGCGCGCGCGCGCGCTGCCGGCTCGTCTCTCGTGCATCGTCGTGGGACGTGGCTCGGTCGCAAAATGGCCGGGTTGCTCTTGCGCAGTCATGTTGCTAGAACAAAGACTATACTCCTACCGTTTGTTGATGCATATATACCATATACAGTATCTTCTATATCTAAATAGATAATCCTATCAACATGCATGCACACATGCCATCTCATCATGTAAACAAAGGGATGGCTACATCTCTACTGAGACTTAACAAAATCTTAATCAAGTGACACAACATATAGAAAGAAGAAAGAAAAAGAAAAAAAGTTACATGGATCTTCATGTAAGATCTCACGATTATAGTATAAGTCTCAGTCGATGGAGATTTACCAATTCCAAAAACATACATGCAAAATATCCACCTCAACATGCATGGAAAATTAAAGATCTACTTTATCAACAACTAAATACAATAAATCATATAAAAGTTTTTAATTTAGTTGTCATATTTTTTATCAAAATATTTATGGTCACTAATATTTAGCTACGGGTCTTTTGCATGTTAGGAGAAGGGCTAGTTAATGTTTGCCATTTTCTTTAGGACCAGAAGTAATAAGTAGGATGAAAGCTCGTAACAGCGCCGCCGCTCGCGCAGAGGGCTAGCTACTAGCTTTCGTGTGCCTTCCGCCCGCGCCCGCGCCAGTCTGCTCGTCTCTGTGGCCTTAGGGCCATGAAGGTGCGGTGGATCCCGATCCATGCCGACTGGAGGGCTCTATTTTTTAATATTTTTTTGATTTTTTTAGAATTTGTGTTCTGCTTAAAGAGGCAAGGCGACGGCGACTTTTTGAAGATGGAATAAGGTTTTCCCCGCCTAGACCCCATCCCGGCGGTGCTTCTGGCATCGTCGAACGGCGTGTGGAGGCTTGTCTCCTGCGGATCTCGCGGAATTCAATCAGTTGGCGTTCGTCTTTGGTGTATCCACGTGGATCTGATCTTCGTTCATCTGTGTTTACAAGTTGGATCCATTCTATCTATGCTTCTCTTCATCGGCGACGGTTGCTGCTCTAGTGCGTTGGTCCTGTAGGGCCTTAGCACGACAACACCACGACTGTCTACTACAACAAGGTATGTCCGACTCTGATGAGGGAGGGACTATGATGGCGGCAAGCCTTCGGCTCACTCCAGTGCTTGTAGTCGTCACTAGGTGGTCTATGGACCTTAATGTGATTTTTTACTTCTAGTGTTCTTTGTACTACGTTGATAGTTGATGAATAGATCGAAAGTTCTTCCCATCATATGCACCAATCGCGACATGCTGTACTTGAGTAAGGTCCACATTGGCTTCACGCTTCCACCTTCATTTGTGATTGTACTCCATGCCAAATCACCGCCGCGCACACCCTTAGCGGCGTTATGCTATGGTGAAAGAATCTCAAAGCCCCATAAGCCATGAGATGTCGTCTTCCCCATCGCACATGTGTGTGTGTGTGTGTGCGAGAGAGAGAGAGAGAGAGAGAGAGAGAGAGAGATTGGGGAGACATGTGGGCCTGGTAGTCAGTGAGAATAACGAATGATCCGGCCGGTTCTAACCGTTCGTTTCTTGCTAGTCCAAACAGGTCTTCGACCTGAATTGAACGAGAACGGTAAGCACATGATGTTTATTTCCTATTAGTGTGAATCACACTTGTATCATGAACCAGATTAAATATGACACCATCGCCTGGCAGTGGCTTCATGTGCAAGTCTACTGCTTTAGAAAAAAAAACATCTCATACAGGGACCTAGTGGTGTTCTTACACCAATTTTATACTATTATGAGCTAACTCTACATGAAAAAACATCTACCTAAGACTAAGAACACAGTGTTCGTACCTATCAGATGAAGATTAGTTATTGCACCATACTACTTTAGACGCACGCTGCCACATCTTGGATGCAATCTTTCCCCTTTGATGGAGTCCATGAACCGATCAAGGAAGAATTTATTTACCAAGACAGGATCACCAGTTAGATTCTACTTGTGTGGCAGGTGATTTTGATCTACACGTAAAATCTTCAACCTAAAAAGTAACTGCCACTTGCGATTTGCGGATAAACAAGCAAGATAGCACTTATTTTTTTGCGGATAAACAAGCACGACAACACTAGCCTCATATATATCCAAGCTGATAGATTTACTGAAAGGAAGGCTAAGACATTTCCCCAAGCAATTTGGAATCAAACATTTGGCGTATTATGACAGCTTTAATTAGTGCATATACGTGACAGTGAGTTACTTGATTATTGTTTAGTTTGAGGACGGCTAATGAACCGAATCAGAAAGCCGGATTCACATGCACAAAAGTAGAAAGCTAGATCCACCAGCACTAGCTAAGACAGGGAATGTTCGGAGGTATATATAGTTGAAATTTCTCCATTAACTGAAAGGATCATCTTCTTTAGACTTTAGACTTCAGCTCTGAAGTTTAGCTCAACTTTTACTGGGTAGCATATCTGGATTATACGCCAAGGGAGAAATAAAGCACTCAACTTTTACAGATGTAAAGTACTCAGATAAGAACTGAATGTAACTGGACTGACTTGATGAGAACTTGAGACCACTCGTGGTGACCAGAGAAGTAGTTTTCGTTGCTTTATTTTTTTGAGCACTAGTAGAAAAAGGGCCTTTAGTCCCGGTTCTGGAACCGGGACTAAAGGGTCGGTACTAATGGCTATTCCTTTAGTCCCGGTTCAATCCAGAACCAGGACTAAAGGGCGCGGCCACGTGGAGCTCCACCTTTAGTCCCGGTTGGTAACACCAACCGGGACTAAAGGAAATTTTATGATTTTTTTTGAAAAAAAAATTTAAATTTTTTTTTTGATTTTCAAATTTCTGAATTATTTTAACCTCTAGTCTGTAATCACCACCCCTCATCACTTCTCAATTTATCCTCTAATCACCCCTCATTATTTCAAATCATCTAACTTCCCGAACGGTCACCCATCCTCCCACTCCCCCAGCCTGAGCACGCTTAACTTCCGGGTTCTATTCTCCCTCACTCCAAGTCTGCACTTGTTGTATTCCTGACAATACTAAGATGTCAATCCTATTAATCTTCAGGAATTTTGCTTGAGCATGAAGTGACACATTTCATAGTTTTATTTTGAAACTATTGTTTTAAAAAACAATAATTATTTAGTAACACTAATATTTCTTGAATAATTAGTTTGACCACAGTTTGACCAGATTTGACCAAAATTGAAAGAACAGAAATAATTATTTAGTAACACTAATATTCTAGAATAATTAGTTCGATCATTGTTTGACCACAGTTTTCCCACTGTTTGAATTTTTTTTGATTTTTTTCACTCTAGATCTTCAAAGCCCCGTAACTTTTTTCTATTAGGTTTTTGAGGATTTTGAAAATGTTTAACGTGGTTCCGCCGTTAAATTCGGATGTAACTTTTCGAGTAGATGATTTTTCATATAAAAAACTTTTTCATCAGAGTTAGTATGCAAAAGTTATGCCCATTTTTACAAATTTCAGAGAGATTTTGCAAATAAAGTCAAAATTCACGTTTGCAAATTTTCCCAACAACTAGACCACATATCACATGGGAAACTTATTTTCTTTTATTTTTTGACATTTCCATCATTTTCTTTTATTTTTTTTTAAAACTGAAAAGGCGATCCGGAGGGGGGGGGGTAGAGTTTGAAATTGGGACCTTTAGTACCGGTTCGTGGCACGAACCGGGACTAAAGGTCTCAACCCCATTAGTCCCGATTCATGCCTCAAACCGGGACTAAAGGTCTAATCTTTAGTCCCGGTTTGAGGCACGAACCGGGACCAATGGTTGTGGGCCAGTAGCGAGGCCCATTGGTCCCGGTTCATCCCACCAACCGGGACCAAAAAGTCCAGATGAACCGGGACCAATGGCCCACGTGGCCCGGCCGGCCCCCTGGGCTCACGAATTGGAACCAATGCCCCTATTGGTCCCGGTTCTGGACTGAACCGAGACTAATGGGCTGACCCGGCCTGGACCAAAGCCCTGTTTTCTACTAGTGGAGGAACGTAAGATAAACAAAGATGTTGAAGAAACTACACATGTTATTTGCTTTTGTTTCCCTGAGCTTATTTAATAAACATGTAAAATATTTTGACCTAAAAAGTAGATGCCATTTCAAATAAACTAGTAAGATGACTCACTGGACTCACATGTCCAAGCTGATAGATTTACTGAAAAAGAAGCTATAAGAGGTTCTCCATGCGATTTGGAAGTATATATTTGTCGTGTTATGGCAGCTTTAAATAGATTTACCTTTTTCACCCAACATCAAACCAAATTTAATCATGATATATTAAACCAGCTCAACGTATGCTTTTGATCCCAAGTTGGACTTACTTGTACGTGAAGCCAAGGTGGGTACTTTGCGTAATTGTTGTAGTAATTAAAGTTCATGTAACGATTATGGTGACAGCTATGAATCAAAAGTACAAAGCAAGATCCACATGCACCAAAAGGAGGATAGGGTTCAAGTCCTGGCGCCCGCATATTCCTGAATTATTTCATGATTTTCGGCGATGCGTGTTCAGTGGGAAGAGACTTTCCCGTCAACTACGAGACGTCTACGATGACTTTGTAAATCTCAAGATAATATGCCAGCTCAGTCTCTTGGAGGTGCTCATAGGGATAAAATGTGCGTGTGTGCGTTCATAGGGGTGAGTATATGCGCGTATATACGAGTGTTTGCGTATGTACCG